AGCCGTGTGTGGCAGCTGCCAAAAAAGCCAACACAGTTCTAGACTGCATAAACAGAGGGATAGAATCAAGATCACATGAAGTGTTAATACCATTTTATAAGGCCTTGGTAAGGCCACCCTTGGAATACTGCATTCAGTTTTGCTTGCCACGATGTAAAAAAAGATGTGGAGAGACTAGAAAGAGTGCAGAGAACAGCAACAAAGATGATTAGGGGACTGGAGGATAAAAGATATAAAGAATGGTTGCAGGAATTGGGTATGTCTACTCGGATGAAAATAAGGACTAGGGGTGGCATGATAGCAGTCTTCCAATATCTCAGGGGCTGCCCTCAGGGGAGAGGGAGTCAAGCTGTTCTCCAAGGCACCTGAAGACGGGACAAGAAGCAATGAAACTAATGAAGGAGAGACACAACTTAGAACGGAGAAGAAATTTCCTGACAGTTAGAACAAATTAATCAGTGGAACAACTTGCCTCCAGAAGTTGTGAATGCTCCAACACTGGAAATTTTTAAGAAGAGATCAGATAACCATTTGTCTGAAGTGGTGTAGGGTTTTCTGCCTAGGCAGGGGGTTGGACTAGAGGACCTCCAAGGTCGCTTCCAACTCTGTTATTCTGTTAAATCTAACCAGTGGTTGAAATCTTTTCTTTCGTGCCTTTGCCAATGCTGAGAAAAACCTGGGTTTGAGTTGGGGGTAGTTTTAACGTTTGACGTTTGCTTCCTTCTCTCCACCCTCCCCCCATTTGTCCCCAGAACCTGAAGCTACAAGGGGTAGAAGACTTGTCCGAAGTCTTAGTGCTACCAGAAGATTAACCGGTGCTACTCGACACTCTCCAGCCTCCCAGGAAGGAATTGATCTGCCTTTTTGAAACATCCCCCCACCCCCCCAGTGCGTCAAGTGAAGGGCAGGAGCCTCCAGCTAATTCCATCGGTCCCTCCTGGGACAAATCGATACGATTTTGCATTATGGTTTCGGCAGTCAAAATCTGCTTGTCTTTTTAAAAGGACCCTGGATGTTTTTAATTTTGGCCCTTTTCCCACGATGGGAAAGAGGGAGCTTTTTTAACACCCGTGTGTGTGTTCTTGGCACAATCGTGACCCTTGTATCCCATTCTGCTTTTTTAAAAAACCAGTTTTTCAGTTTCCGTTTTTCTTTCTACAGTTTCCGCTCTCCTGTCGTTTTTATCATTGTCTTAAGTCATTTTATATATTTGTACGCATCTTTTATTCTCTTTTTTTAAAGGAATAAACCCAAACCGTATAGTAGTCCTCCTCTGCCTGTGGCTTTCATCGGCTTTGAACCTCTGCCAGAACAGCCTCTGTGACTGGAATATACAGTAGTGGCCAAAATTGTGGAAAGCTTTTGGGAAAAGTGTATATTTTCTAAAACTAGCTAATAACACCACTTTTTGGGGGGAGTAGTACCATAAGATTATATATCAATGGAAAGGTAATTTAATCAGGGATGCAATGCAATAACTTTTATGAAGGATTTGCTATTAGAATAGCAGTTATAAAGAAGAACATTGAAACGAGATACACAAACATTATCCCCATAATAAAAATGGGGTATACAGAAATGATCACCATGTCAGTTAATACTCAGTTGGGTAACTTTTAGCATGAATTACAGCCTTAACAATATCTTCCCATGGAATGAACCGTCTTTTAGTTCTGCAGCTGTTATGTGAAACCAAGATTGAATGATTGCTTCTATTAACTGGGTTTTATTGCTGGGTCACTTCTGACTAAGACGTTTCCTTCCTTCCTTCCTTCCTTCCTTCCTTCCTTCCTTCCTTCCTTCCTTCCTTCCTTCCTTCCTTCCTTCC